CACGCTACCAATCTCTAGCCGGGCTGCAGCCCTCAAAGTGTACTCCAAGTTTGTCGCCACCCGTACTCTTCTCTACAATATTAAATACTCGAAAACATAGAAGGTACTAGCTGGCCTGCATCTACTATGAATATATGTGTATCAGTTCTATTGCACTTTGCTAGACAATCAAAGTACTAATCAGCCTGCACCTGGCTAGTCTGTATCATTCGATAGCACTCTTTGATTTTAATCTTTCAGTTGTATCACAACCAGTCGGTTGTATGTATATAGACTCGGTCTTACATCCCTTAGTCTCCATCTCCTCCTGTGTGGTCTGCAGCCGTCGCACCTATCCTCTTGTCCGCATAAGTCTTGGTCGATACCTCTTGTGAGGTGTGGGGCTGGGTAGCGTTCTCCAACGCCGACACAGCACTTTCCACTGCCTCTGCACGCGCTTCCTTCTCCTTCAAGCTATCTGTGTGTACTGTGTGGGTGCTTCTGGTGTTATCTATGAGAGATTCATGCTTCTTTGGATCGGCTCGAGCGTCTGTGTGAGTGTTTTTGGTGCTATCTAAGTGAGAGTCCTGTGACTTTGCATCGGTTCGAGGGTCGTCTGTAGTGTCTGTTCGAGTATCGTTGACTTCGGTCAGTAGTTGCTGCACACGCTCCTGGCTGCGGCAGAAGGCCTCGAAGTCGCACAGCAGATCGTCTTCGGATAGCTGCTCGCCCCCAATAGCCCTGGGGATTTAATAAGGTATAAAACATGTAATGTGATTGAGACCGTCTTCGAACAACTGCATTACACCAATAGCGCTCGGGATTAATAAATAATACAAACCACATTGTGATGGAGGATATGATAATAATGAGCATCTATACCATGTACGACATGTCAAACGTTACGATATCGGACAATTATTCACCGCCAATAGAACTGTGGACTATATTACGAAACGTTTTTTGTTGTGAGATTCGTATGCATGTTCACACATACCTATCCACACAAGTACAACTGTAGGCTATTGCACGCAAGCATACATAAGCGTATACACTCACACAGAGCATACAGGCTGTTGTATGAATGTATACACATACATATCCACACGAGTACCATCACACACGCACGAGCTATTGTGCTATAGTGCACAAGGTCACACATGCTTATTAATGTATAAATTTGCCTCGACATGAATACACATGCATATCTCCACACGCCGGCAGATGCACTCACCCTGCGCGACGCCACTTAGCGGTTAGGAGGTGGTTTCGCATCCATAGAAATCCCGGGGGTTGACCCTCATCCACAACCTGTACGAGTGAGATTCCTGTCGAATGCACCTACAACCGGCGAGTTTTAGGGTTTGAGTGTTTAAGGTGCTTGTCTTGAGGGGTACGAAAATTACCTACAGTGTTGGTAATGTATCCTGTTGGAAACATATTGCAGCGCGGAATACTGAAGGGAAATGACTGAGAAACGGCATAAACAACACTACATAATTCTAAAAACTCTAATATATACATATATACATGCACACATACACACACACACACACACAT